TAACAATATTAAAAAAATTATAGATAACAATTTATTTCGTTAATATTTTAAAAAGAACTTTAAAATATATGTATTTATTTGAACAACATAAAATAGGAAAAATTACATTTTTTACAAACAAAATATATCTCGAAAACAATGTTTCATATTTATTTAATAAATATTTTACTCTAAGAATATTTAATTTGCATGCAACTTAATAAGAAAAAGTAAAAAAAAAATTAAATGTTTTTTTAGATTATAGCAATGAAAAATGAAAATTACTAATAATAATTTGAAATAGATTGTTATTTTAATTTTAGTTAAATCATCAAAATGATGTGTCATCCACATCATCTCATTAAAGCCACACAAGCAAAAAAGTCAAAGGGTTAACCGGTTTAAAAGGTAACAGGTTACCTATTGCTACTATGGGTAGATTTTTTAAAGTACAATGCCTTAATAAAAAATAATTTGAAAGTACATTGCTGTAATAAAGAAAAACAAAAATAGAATATTATAATAAGAAAATTTATGAAAGTAGGTTGTTGTTTTATGCATTTAACCTATATTAATATTATAATTTTATCTTATTTATTTTGATATTTTAATATTAATAATGATAAAATATTATATATATATAATTATAGGATATGTATATTAATATATAAAGTAATAATAATAAAATATATTATATTATTTGATTGATTTTGACATTTTATATTTTTAATCAAGGTTCAAGTTCCAAAGCATTTGACACCCCTATTAAAAGGGTGCTATTAGCACTCCTCAATATTATTTGTCACCATCAATCACTATCAACGCCGTCGCAAACCACCATTAACACCATAATTTCCACCCTCGACACAATCACCCACCACCATCAACATCGATTGTAATGAAATTATTACAAAATGTATCCCCTAATAAAGTTTAGATAGCTGTAATTAATGTTATACAAGTCATATTCTATTAAATGTTTTTTATAGACATACATGTTTTATTGTACTACTGAATTCACTTTCTGTTATTATCTACAATATCACATGGGTCCTCATTCTGAAAACCCTTTTGTATTAAAGAAAACTTAATCAGACATCAGACTATGAATCCTTCATCGAGTTTTTAACTGTTTGAACGTTTCCATTTCAAAAAGTGAATGTTAAAGGTATTTAAAAGAAAACTGATGGACCGCATCAATCGGTGAAATCAAACAAAACTGGAGCGTTTATGTGGTTTGACCGGTTTGTTAGTGTAGTTTAGTTTGAAAAATAGTCAAACCACATGATTTATAGTTTCGACAACGGCTAATTTACACACACACGCACAAGGACAGAGCCAAGATTTTCGATGATGGTGGTCCTTTTGTTTCAACTATTTTTGTGGAAGATCACAAATCACTTTTAGAGTGTATCGAGTCTCTAGATGTGGTAGATCTCGACTTTGATAATGCGACGATATGTTAAACCTGTTTAAATATTCTTTTAAAGGATTCTCGCACGCACGCACCTGGAGGTTCAAACGAGAACAACTCTGTTTTACGAGAATGCTGGAACATTTATGGGTCTCCAAATATTTAACCCACAATTAAAGAATTACGAAACAAATTTATTAGTATTAAATACTTACCGAACATAACTATTGTAATCTCAAAAGATAATAATGCCCTTATAAATTAAAAATAAATGGATTCATGTGATTGGTTGTTATTAGTTTATATGATTTGTATAAATTGAGGCGGTTTGTATTTGAGCCCTCCTCTCTGTTTGTGTGTGTGTGTGTGTGTGTGTGTGAGCGATCAAATACAAACCACCCAATTTGTACAAACCGTGCAAACCACACTCATCCGTCGATTTCATTGTTTACTCTTATAATTTTTTTTAATGAAATTGTTTCATATAATACTTTTTTTTAATAAAGTTGTTTCATATATGGTTATGAAATTATTTCATATAATATTTAATGAAATTTTAATGAAAATGTTTCATGTATTTCTCTAAAATTAAAATAATGAAGATGATAATATTCATGATCAACACCCTTCACAATAAAAATGATTAATCAAACTCTCCTAATTACAAAAAAATGAACAAAATGAATACTTATGATTGATAGAATGAGGTTTGTACAGTTTTATACAAATAACGTGGTTTGCAAAGTAATCTTCTCTTTCTATATTATATATATATATAATATTTGAAATTTTAATGTAATCCAATTCAATTATAGATTCTTGAATAAATTACAAAATTGGTCCATGTGGTTTACACTTTTTATCCATACTGATCGCAAAATCAAAATAAATACAAATATAAGACTCATGGTTTGCGCTTTTGTACTCTTTGAGTCCCTGCCTCTAACTCTGTTAAAAAATTAATGTTAAAATAAAGACATTCCTTTTTGGATTATTTTGTCTTTTTCAATTTAAAAGTTACAAAAATTATTATATATTTTATATATTATCACATATATGGTGTTGGTTCAAACAAGAATACCTATATTTTATGAAAACATGAGAACCCCATATCATATATGATAATACATGTGAGTGGGCATGGTGGTGTGTGTGGACGACTTGGCCCGTGACCTAGGTCCTGACAAAGGTTGTTTGCCTCTTTGATCTATTATCATATATGATGGACCATAGTATCACATTGAATGGACCTAGTGTGTGCGAGCGACTTGGCCAGCAACCTTGGTCACATCAAAGATCGTCTGCATCTCTGATTTAGTATCACAAGTGTATCATATGTAATGAAATATAGTATCACATATGATTAATTATAGTAAATGAGTGTTCTAATGTTTTTGTCAAATAAAAGTGTTCTCGTTCGAACCTTTATATATATATTACATATATATTTCCTATATATACTGCATCTTTCCAATATTCCACTACTACTTGATCTCCTTCCACCACTACAAGCCCATGAAAGGTGAACCCCCTCCCATCTTGTTTTCTCACAAAAGACCCCTACCCCTTTCTTTCATTTCCCATAAGTTATCTGATAAATAAATCATGTTTGATAAAAATTAGCTGATCATATTTGGCAAAAACTAGCTGATGAACATGTAAAATGACCAAAAATATATTTTGAAAATTAGTCAATTACAATATTTATAATATACAAGAGTTTTGGCAACGAAAATGAATTTATCGTCACAAACAATTTATAAAAACAAGATATTTGTCGCAATAACTTCTTGCTGAAACATATCGTCGTTATAGGGGTGTCGGCGAACCTCGCTTTTCTAGTGGTGAAATATTTATTAATATAATATATTGATACAAACAAGGTAGTAACAAAAAATTAAAATATTATAATATATTAACTAAAAGAATTTAAATTGATTATTATATATATTATAAATTTTAGATTTGTTAAAA